AGAGGAGAGAGAGAGAGAGAGAGAGAGAGAGAGAGAGAGCAGACAAACAGGCAGATAAACAGATAGATAGATTGATAGTTAGATGAATATAACACCATCACTTTCATCCTAGTCGACAGTCGACTCTGACTTCCCGCCAGAGTTGTACGGAGCATCTCAAAACCTTATTTCGACGTTGTCTGTGAGCAGAATCGACCTACTCTTCACCAAGGTCTATATTGAAACCAAGTAAAATTTGCACTATATACCCTCAGATAAGCGCTGTTAATCATCGCCTGTTAAATTCAATCTAATTTACAAATGGTTAGCATATGCCAATTTCTAAAAAAAAATACTTTAGTTATTGCTTAAACGGCTACCTTTTTCTATGATCTCCCCTAAACCTACCATTTTCTATGATCCTCTTCCGTCTTACCCTAAACCTCAAAAACTTCTTTTTGTTGCTTCTGAAACTTCTTTTGGCTGTAACCCCTACAAATTACTTTCGATAGATTTGCGACTCATACCTTCAGCATTAAATTTACGATAATCCCTAAAACGCACTGAATACTAACGAAAGCATGGATATATAATGATGCATGCATTATCGCACATCGGGCAGGTCGACAACCGGAGACATGTATTAGACGCGTTTGGAGGAGGAGGAGGAAGAGGATGATGAGGTGGAGCATGAGGAAGAGGAGGAGGAGGAGGAGGAAGAGCATAATGAGGTGGAGTATGAGGAGGAGGAGGAGGAGGAGGAGAGGAGGAGGAGGAGGAGGAGGAGGAGGAGGAGGAGAGAAGGAAGGAGGAGGAGGAGGAGGAGGAGGAGGAAGAAGAAGAAGAGCAACAACAAGAACAAGAGCAAGAAAAAGAAGGAGGAGGAGGAGGAAGAAGAGTTAAAAGGAAGGTATTCACGACAGAGGTAATAAACGAGAATAGAGAAGAAAGTTATTGACATTGCGATGATTATACAATACCGAAATTGTGTAATCTCACAGAAACCAAAAAAAGAAAGAAAGAAAAAATATTAAAATATTTTCTATCTGAAATCACAAATTACATACACTTTCTTTCACCAATTACCACAGCAAGGCGGGCGAGACATGTGCACTACATGTTTGCTGATAAGGAAGTGAGAGATATCAATGAGTTTACAGATGGATGATAATATTACAGCCATCGTGACAGTAAGGCCCATTTTGGCAAACTCTGAACGTAACATTCTAACCTAATGGTAACTAAAGAGATATTTTTATAATATTGGGATAAAAGTAAAACTGAAAACTGGAAATGACATGTATTAACCTAAATGGTAATGATAACGTACACAAAATGAATATAAAATGCATTGGTTTTTTTACATATCTTCTCTACCCTCCCTCTCCTACACACCACCCATCCTTCCCTCCCCCCAATCCTGCACACCCACCCATCCTTCCCTACCCCCTCCCCATCCTACACACCCAACCATCCTTCCCTACCCCCCGATCCAACACCCCCCATCCCCCCCCTTCCCCTACCACTACTTCAACAACGAGAACAAGTATTACCACATGTAACTACGTTTTCCAACAGATAGGCATTAGTTATTTCTGGAGTGTCTGTTCCGCGAAGCCCACCCATCTCAACGAAACGTATTGTAGCCCAAAACGTGTCTGGTACATGTGGCGCCAAAACACAGCTGTCCCGGTAGGTGGCGGCCAAAGCAGACAAGACGTGTGTTGTTCACTTAACAGATAATGTAGAAAGTCGAGTATTATTCTTTTTGTTGTGTGGATTCTGCCATGTCAACGGTTTAGATCAGTGGGATGCTAGTGGGTACTTTTTGATAGGTATTTTATTACGTATGAAGCTAGCCATAGGATGAAAGGATTCGTGATTGTGCAACCCTGCACTTTGAAAGTAAATGAATCAGTAAAAATAAAATATGTATATATACATATATATATTATGTGTGTGTGTGTGTGTGTGTATGTGTGTGTGTGTGCCTATGTTGTGTGTGTGTGTGTGTGTGTGTGTGTGTGTGTGTGTGTGTGTGTGTGTGTGTGTGTGTGTGTGTGTGTGTGTGTGTGGTGCGTGTGTGCGTGCGTGCGTGCGTGCGTGCGTGCGTGTGTGCGTGTGCGTGTGTGTGTGTGTGTGTTCCGCTATTTTTTTACAATCACAAACGTAGAAATATACAACTGAACCACCTACTTTTTTCTTACGTCAAATTGATGGAGTCCTCTCGATGTGTAAGTTCTTTTTTTTTTTTATATATGACATCACTTCATGGTCACGGGAAGCTAAATAGGTAAAATAGAATGAGATACAAAACTCAATAATGACCAGTGAAATATTTATTCACAGTGTAACATCTAAAACACAAATAAAAATATTTTAGTTACAGTATTTCATGGTGTGTTTTTCAGCAAAGAAATACAGTATTTAATGGTGTGTTTTTCAGAAAGATAAATCAAAAATACAAATGCCAAAGTGAAAATATACATTTTTTTTAAGAATCGTTTATTACGTTTATTGT